AGCATTAGCCTCCTCCATATTTGTGTCGGTTCAGGTTTATTGTACAATAAAGTCCCATTTTGTGAACTCAGTGGAAACTTTTAGAGACATCTTCCTGGTCTCGCACTGCTGGAGCGGAATGAACAGGCAGACTGCATGTATTGTGTCCTTCCAGTATCAGAATCCCTGACATAGATAATGGGTGAAATCCATCTAGGTGAGTTGGCTGGAGGATGCGTTTATCTGTCTGCACTCCACTGTGTACAGAGCCTTACAGGGGGACACACCAGCTGGCTACTGCCAGAGGACGATACGGGATAGATAGATAGATTTTATTTGTCACATACACAATCGTACAAGTATGATATGCAGTGAAATGCTTACACGACTGCAGAGCAGTCGTGACGGCAGCCGACTACACCGGCGCCATCTTTGTAGAGCAGTACGGTGACAAGACGCGGATGTAGAGAGCCTGCAGCTTCTCCTAAAGCTCCGGGTGTCGCCTCTGAACGGCAGCGTGATACAAGTGCAGGAGCGCTGTACAATCTTAACCGCCATTAATCCCCAACGGAGAACCTGACTGTGCCAGTTGGTAGACGAGAAGATCGTTATGGGCCTCCGCATAATCCCCCATCTTGTACTCGACGTGGACGACTCCGTCTCCCAGGGCGTCAACATCCCTTCTCAGCAGCAAAAAGCACATCTCTATGCAGGGAGCACCCAAGAGACACAAGCACGTCCCCTAGGGTAGTGTCCAGCAGGGGGCGATCAGCAGTGGGACAATCCTCAATGGTGCTATTCATCTCCTCACACACATGCACAGTAGGGCCAGACCGCTCGTCCCCCTCCCCAGGCCGTATCTGCGCTCCCCCAGAGTCCAGTCTGGGCGTGGATTTTGCCGGGTTGGCGGTCACCTGGCTCCCACCTCCTTTCGGCTCCCGCTCGTTACGGCTGTCGGAGAGTTGCAGAGGAGGACAGGGTGCTGGACGAGCAGGGATACAACCAGAGGCCACGGCTGGGCCTTCACCCCAACCAGTGGTCACGGCTGGGCCTTCACTAGAATACATACTTGTTCCATAAAGCATAACAATGGTCTCAACAGATCACTAACTAGTCCAGAAATATCAGCCTGTGATGCGTGTCATGTTTACACACAAAGAACAAAAAACTAAAATACTGTATATCCAGCGTGTATAATAACATAAGACAAAGGACTATGCAGTGCCAAAACACAAGCAAAACCAGCAACCAAAACAGAAAGATAATGCGTTTTACACACGAATATACAGGGAAGAGAGCGGGGGTCAGGTCCTTGACGAATGACAGGAGTCAAGGGAGATTTCTGCATCATTCAAGTGACAGGGGTGACAAGCAGGGCGACTCCCTGGATTGTAGGGTGAGATGACAGGGCTGATCTTCACATGGTGACATTTCAAGACATGACAGGTCCATTGTATGAGACTTCCACTGCTGGACTTCATTTGAAAATGCTAATTGCTTGGTTAGGTGTGGTTAGAGGCCAGATACACATTGATCAGTGGCAGTAATGCATGCCTTGGTGCAACAAACGTAAATGCATGCTATGGTTTTTGGTGTGCTGCAATGCCATTCATTCTGAATGGCCCCCAAAGCACTTTGCCGACAATACTTAGCACTCAGTTTACATATGACGAAAGGTTACCTTCAGTAAAAAAAACAATGAATACATTTTAAAACCATCAGTATATGCAAAACATTGCTAAACTGGACCACTGCCAAGAAAGGATGGAGCACGGCAACAGTAGCTGGCACTTGCATGAAAAGACCTCTGTTCAGAGGACTCGCTGTTAGAAGGTACCGAGCATTGAATGCTTGCCTTTTTTCCAGCACTAATGCAGAGTGCAATAGCCCCACAGCAATGAGCTACCATCCATCCTTGGCTGATGTGACGACAGCGACATGCTACTGGTTGCCATGGATCACTGCACTCGGCCCTAGTAAATAGGGACATTGACAGAGAGATATTAGGCCCTGTTCACTGCTTGGCGTTCTGTGAACGACCATTACGTTCGTGTATATTTTTGCGGGTGACACCAAAAGAGGGGGCAACACCAAAATGACGACAGTTATTTTGGTGTCATCCTCTCTGAAAAGGTCGAAGAAAAAGGTTATTTGGTGATGCAGAGCCTCCCTTTCTGGAAGCCAACCCCTAGTTGATTTGTAATAAAAGGAAGGATAGAGAAAGATGGTTCCATCTAGCTTAACCTTGTCCTATGCTATCTAGGGGGCGATAGCATTTTCAATGCTTTTTATAAATTGCTTGTTTAAATAAATGTATAATTTGAGATATATATATATATATATATATATAT